AGCGGAACGACGTTAAAGGTCAGCAGGCGGCTGCCCGCGGTGACCCCCCCCATCCTCGTGGCCATGTTATGCTATTTTAGGCTAAAACACAACAAGGATTTCATCTGAACCAGAAAACGTTACATTTTACTGAGTAACTTCATACATGACTACACATCTCTGACATGAATATTTATAAGAAACTAAGTCTGGAGGCATTAAGACCCTCCAACTCTGTCAACTCTGAGGTCGTCATAGTTTTGATTAAATCTTCCTCTCACGTTTATTATCATTTTGTTAAAAAAATAGCTTTTTTTTTAAAAAAATTTCATCAGGTAAATTTTTGCCTTTCTCAGTCTGTTTTTGTTTTTGTGACTGTAAATTCTGCAGTAACTCATGTCTCCAATATAATAATATAAGAACAGTGTGTTTAAATGCATGTCAAAAAAACCTGTTAAAAAAGTTTAGCAGCTCTAATGAAATCATTTTCAAATAATGATGTAAAACATGAAAAAAAAATTGGCATAATTATAACCTTACACATAAATAATGATGTAAAACATGAAAAAAAAAATTGGCATAATTATAATCTACACATAACAAACTCTGGCCCGAGGGCCAAATCTGGCCCACAGTGTAATTATATTTGGCCCTTGAGATCATATCAAATGTGTACTAGAGTTGGCCCCCCAGTATACAGAGCCATGTATACTGGGGGGAGTTGTAGTACTGGTGGAGTATGCTCTATGTTAGAGCACATACAATTTTGTTTTGTTTTTTATTTACTACAGATAAAGAGACAAGATAAGAAACAAATAGCACTGATGTGTGTTTGGTTTCAAATTTAATTTTTATTTCTTTATAACATTAACCTGTGGTTGTTGTAGAGTCAATGTTTACACAAAACCAAAGTTTTTCATATGAGAAAATTCTACATTTGTCAATTACTGTCAGTTTTTCTATATATATATATATATTAAGTTTTGGCCGTGACTTTGTCCCAGTTTTTAATTTTGTCCTAACTCCTGTTATGACCTAAAATAATGCCTGTCCTTTCATCTGACCTCAGGTGAACCCAGTATAATTTTCTCCCCGTGGCCAAGTACAGTTTGAGTCAGACAGGTTTTTTTTTTAGATTTATGTTAATGAGAAAACTCCACATAACAAAACAAAATTATTGACCTAAAAAAAAATAATCACCATGGTGACATTTGTCCGGTGATGACCTTGGATCAGCTCAGGCTGCAGAGCAGAGCTGCTCCAGGATCGTCATCATCCTCTGAGCTCCAGCTCAGGAGGTGAAAAAAAAAAAACAACAACAGAAGTTTTCAAACTCTCATCGTCGGTAGACCAACGTTCTCAGTTTGAAATGTAGGAGTTGAATATCTGTGGGACACAGTCATCGGTCTCAGCTGCCGCTGTGTGAGAGAAACACCAGCCTGTGGTGCAGCGTGGTGATCATATCAGGGATTTGAACCGTCAGCTCCCACACGATGAAATCATCTCTCTCCCTCCTGTGTTTTTTTCCCACTTCTTCCTGGTTTTACTCTGCTCTGTGTCTGGTTCCCCGGCGGCTGCTGAACTGTGATGTTGTTTCCTGGATGAACTCCTCTCCGTCTCCTGCCACCTCTGCTTGGTTTGATGAATATTTCACAGGCCACTAGAGACGCTCTCCTCCAGCCTCTAATCTTATTCCCTGACTGCAGCATCGGCCTCTCGGTGCCTTCAGACTCTGCAGCGTCGTCTCTGTCGGCTGAGGTTAGAAACTCGGGAGAGCAGGGCAGCAAATCAGATGAAGAGGAATGGAAGTGTGTTGTTGTTGTTGTTGTTGTTGTTGTTGTTGTTGTTGTTGTTGTTGTTGTTGGGCTGATATCACTGCACCACTGAGTCAGGAGTGGGGGTGTAGATTAATTACTGTTGTGGTGATGCAATTAGAACATATCTCATTAATTAGAGACGCTTCGTAATAATCACTTTTTTTTTATCTGTTTTTTTTTTCACTGAAAATAGTTCTTCACTTTCCCCCCTGTCCACGAGCCACGTCCAAACCCTGAGTTACAGCGCCCCCGCTCTGTGCTGTGAGCAGACAGCTCCATGATGAAAG